GAGAGACAGAGATCCTCCCTCTGCTGGGCCAGGCTAACCCTGATCCATCCGGTCTCCCACGTGGGCTGAGGGGCCCAGGGACTTGAGCCATCCTTCACTGGCTTCCCAGGGCACTGGCAGGGAGCTGGATGGGAAGAGGAGCAGCTCTGACACGGGAGGCTGGCGCGCAGGCGGAGGTTAACCCATGGGCCACGGCACCCTTTCCTGTGCACCTTCAATCATCTCTGATTACTTATGTTCACACAGTGTAAAGCCTATGTGAGGGAGACACACGTGCACACAGCGCACACACGTGTGCACACACACAGTTAACTGCAGGGGAATAAAAATCGCACGAGGAGGGGCCAGCGCTGCGGGCCGCGGGTAAGTCTCTGCTTACGATGCCAACATCCCATATGACAGCACCAGCCTGAGTCCAGCTGCTCCACTTCCAGTCAAGCTCCCTGCTGATGCCTGGGAAGCAATGGCAGACGGCCCAAGTGCACGCACATGGAAGACCTGGATGGAGCTCCCGGCTCCAGATTCCAGCCTGGGCCTGCCACTTGGGGAGTGAATCAGAGGATGGACGAGCTCTCTCTTTGTCTCCCTCTCTCTCCCCACCCCGCCCCCACTCTCAAGCTGTCACTCTGCCATTCAAATAAATAGATTGAACAAATGTTTTTTAAAAAGTAGTAAGAGCAGCTACAGGTACCAAACACTGATGTATTAGTGCAGTTCTGTCCGGAATGTATTGATCAAGCAACCTGGAGGACATATTATGACGAAGCCCATTTTATGGATGAGAGGGTTCAGAGTGAGTCCTTGGTCCAAATCTAGTCCACTAACAACACGCGGGCAGACTGTGGACCCAGGCGATCCGCAGCCGGGCTGCGACCCGAGGCTGCTCCAGTTCTCAGGCGGGACAGGGGCCACTCCCGAGGCCCGGGCACGGCTCAGTTCCCAGCCTATTCGTGGATCCTTGCAAGAGGCTATTTTCCAGTCTCTCGCATTTCTTTTTATAATTTCCTTTTTTATGAACTACCCTGGACACTTGCAACCAAAAGAACCTAATTAGAACACCTTGATTCCCTCTGCCTTGAAAGCTGTTTACATAATCATCCATCACCCAGGAAACACCATAATGTTCACAGACAGTGTAATTTTACTACGCATTCCATGAGCAAACAGTTACAATGACTCGCCCACAGCAAAAATGTCCTTGAAACACCCCCATCACTGTGACTTGGTCCGATCATCATGTCACTTAGATTAAACTAAAACGAAAGAAGCAGCTCTCCCCATCAAGCTCACTTTCTCCAGCCCTCCCTCTGGCTTGTCTCTCCATCTCACTCTGCACCTCCCGTTCTCCACAGGTCAGCGGCGAAATTAAAGACACACAGAGGAACCCACAGCAAAACAAGACCCCACACGGCGCCTACCTCTTAGGCACCCCCAGGAAGCCAGCCGCTCACGGCGGGCCCGGGTGAGAGAGCTGCCCAGAGTTGCCCGGGGGTCAGGGGAGACACTGGCCCCCTGCGCTGGCACTCCTGTCACGCCACCCTGCTTCCCCAGTGCCCTCCTCACTCCTCATTCCGCAGGAGCGCACTGGGCGCCGAGGAGCCCGCCCGCGGAGCCCGCGGCAGCGCGGGGCCACTTACTCCAGTATCCTTTTCATCTGCTCCACCTCCCACAGGGACACGAAGGCTGGCCTCCTCGCAACGCCCTTCTGAGTCTTGGAAGCTATGTTGGTCTGAATCATCCCTTTAGGTGAAAACAAACAAACAAGAATCAAGAATTAGTCCGGAAAGGCTTCTCGTAGTTTGTCCCAGGGCTGTTGACACAGCAAACTTCTGTGTAGGTACGAAAGACCCGACCTCTGGACGAAACCACTCGCGAGAGGAAAACTCGTGCCTCAACGCTCCTATGACGAGACCCAGAGAGCAGCGCGGTGCCGAGGTATCCGCCAGAAACAAGAGACCTACGTTCACACGAAGATCGGCACA